TACGCGGTAGCGTTACTAAGTAGGATTCACCCCCAAACAAAATGGCTGCCACGACTTTTGCAGCCTTGCTATACCGGGAAAACGAGCTCCTATGCTTACCAGACTTTATAGAGGACCTTATCTTGACCAGAGGACTCCATTGGTACCCATAGCGTGGCTCTAGACCTTGTCTAAAAGAAAAACCAAAAATCGATGAACCGGCCGTTTTGTTCAGCCACCTTTTTTCATCTTCATCATCATCATCAAGTCAGAAGTCCTGTCAATCCAGTTGTCGGTGCGTATCTCAGTATCAGTTGGTGCTACAGGGATAATTTTTGCACCCATCTACTCCAACAATCTATGCGCAGGTCCATGTCCCATCAGATCATTCTTCAAGTAAGGAAAAAGTGATACTGTGACTGCTGGATCTAGCCATCTTAGCTGCACGCCGCCATTTTGTTAATTAAAGAAGCTTGCCATGTGCTCCAAAATTTGGGTGTGGTCGCGCATGCTCAGATCTGCAGCTCTGGAAGAAGCAATTTATTTTTTACCAAGCTATGCTTGGAATCAACTTAGTTACTGCAATACTTTAGTGGAGGTTTCCAGCTAAAAGAAGGTATTAATTTTACATGTTACTGTTTTATCAAGTGTGTTATTTTATTTTATTTTAAAAAACAAACAATGTTATGACTTATGATATGCAATGATAATTATGAACTTGACAACAGCCAGCAGGGAAGATGGACACTCTTAGCTCACAGATTCTTGAACAAGGACTTGTGTCAAGACTAGTATTAGTTTCACTTGTCATCAGTAGATATAGTTGATATTCCTTCAGCATGTCTATTCAATGCTGTCTCTCATAAATGATGTAAAGTCATAACAATGATAATAATAATAAAGAAAACTATTGTTTGTGTAAAATCAACAAGCATCACAATTGCAACTAAAGAAATACTATAAATATTATAAAAAAATCAACACAAACAAGAACATAAAAAAATTTAAAAAAACAAGATGAAGTAGGATTCCGAA